TCTACACAGCCAGGTGGCTCAACCAGCACCCAGCATGCCACGGACTGGCCATTGCCTAATAAACACAACAATTATTCTGACAAGTGCTTGATTTTCATCTCCTTGCCCAATAATGCCATGTTTTGCCATTTCTAGTGGCAGCACAGACCAGCCTGGTCCAGGTGGCCGTGATGCTCTGTTTGCTGGAGGCTGGTGCTGGTTTAACGGCGTACACGAAGCATCATTTATTTGCACCTGAGAGGCTCCTGTCCAGCTGAGCATCCAAACCCTGCAGAATATTGGCCGAGTCTGATCTGTGACAAGCGGTATTTAAATGAATTATGATCTTATGATTTATTTAGGCCACGGTGCAGTTTAATCATTAATGGTGTTACGCCGATTTATAGAGGAGCTCTGAAGGACTCATTCACTTTGCTTTAGATGTTTGAAATTCCTAATGGTCCCCGAGGCCCTGCATGGGAAATGAGTTCTTCCTTCTGGTGCTCATAACAGCAGCGAATGGAGGAGGGAGGGCGGGAAAATAGAACAGGGAAGCCGATGCCCTGATTGTTAGCACAGGCAGGTCCCGCGGGCATTGCATTGCCCACGCCCCGTGATCGCTCGCTGCTGCAGGGTGGGTGCCGAGGCTGTGCTGGGGGCTGCAGGGGTTGGGGTGCGTGGTGCTGGCCTGACCTGCACGGGGCCCTGGCCTCCCCAAAGGGGAGAGGTCAGCCCTGCTTTTCCGCCAGTGACTTCCACCTGAGATGCCACTGAAGTCTTTGCTCATCCCGATTCCTGCCTGGTTTGAATGAATTTTATCCCTGCAAAGGGTTTGTTTGAATAGATAGAGTTACGCATTCTATTTTGAACAGAGATAAATGGCTTTTTGGAAAGAATTTTATCAAATTCACCCTAGAAGGAGGATGGAGACAGAGGTATTATTACTGGCAATGGGTTAATGAACATGACATATTAAGATGGCATTCAGCGTGCCACGAAGCAAAACCACATTACGAGTGTTCTTAAACTCTAATACCTTAAATGACTACATCTCGACGACTAGCTTTGTGGCTCAGGAACAATGAAATCCCTTGAAGGGTGCACTGCAGAACTTTCCCCGAACAGGGCATTTTTTCAAAGAACTCTTGCTCAGCACAGGCATGGTAATAATTCAAAACCCAGAATAATTCGAAAGCCCCGAATGTTCCATGTTTTGTTACCAGCCCATTGCCAACGACTACCCTCAAGGAGTGAGCCAAAGCCCCTGCCTCCTTCCCGCTTCCCCCCCGGCTGCCGACATCGCCTGTTTGCATGTCCTTCTTCATCCCTGGCACGCCGCAGTTTGCGGTGATTTTGCTGTAAATTAACTCTGAGACAAGCGGCCTTCAGCGTAAGGCTGGTAGAGAGCTGCCGAAGGGATTTCTGTCCATCCATCCATCCATCCAGCAGCGAGCTGCTCGGCCGCAGAAGCAAGGGCAGGCGGCCGGGCGTTAAGCTGAGGGTGCTTTCGCTGCCCTTCAGCTCTTGGCATCTCTTCAGAGGTGGTGGGGAAAGGATTTTGCTGGAGAGCCGTGATTCTGCAGCAGGTCAGAGCTCAGGGCGCGGGAGCCAAAAGGCAGGTCGGCCAGAGGCAGCTCTCCTTTCTCCTTCACCTCCTGCCCGTCTGCAGCAGAGACAAGAGAGCCTGATGAATACAAACGAACAGCGGCAATGCCTTTAACCAGTGCTCTCTGCTACATGCGACCCATGAGCAAGCAGGGAAGGAAAACCCATGCTCGCATTAGTATGGGCCTCGGGGCGTGCTGCAGCACTGCTTGCCTCCATCGCTGTCAGCTGGCACCGCTCCTGCTCTGCATGCAGCAGGGGAACCACGGGCTCGGTAAGCGTGCACGTTATGGAGAGGCTGTGCACGGTAAGTATGCTCCGACTCAGAAAACAAAACTTCTACTCCTAATTCAGTGTTAGAAAACCACAATATTAAAAAAACATATATTTTTTTTTTAAGTGATTTCTGCAGCTCGAGCTACACCATGCAAGCTAAGAACAGGCATATGGATGATTTGATTACTTGGTTGGGCTCACAGTTTATTTTTGGTTACTGCTGGTAGCACAGCGTTGAAGTTTTCAATGTCATTCAGTATTCCTTAAATACAATTAATCAATACCTTAATAACAAATGCACGGTGGTGCATGCGGAGGTAATTATCTGTTTAGATTCTCCAGCTGTCTGGTACAGATGTCACTAATGGAATCTGGGCAAAAGGCATCCTTTAGTGTCGGCCTGGGGTGGGACTGCTGCGGAGAGACATAAAGCTGCTCAGGGAGTGCTGCAGGAGGCTGCATCAGTGGATCCCGTGCATCATCCTATCTGGGAAGCTCCAGGCTCTGCCAGGTATTCAAAATCCGTCCTGGCCTGTCTTGAGGAATTTTTGTGCTTGTTTTAAGACCAACACTTAAGGCTGGTCTAATAGCAGCATATCTGGATTTCCATGACAATATTCAAACCTTACTATAGCAACTCTGAAGATGAAAATTTGGGCACCAATTTTAGATAAACTGCATTCACTACTACTACAGTCAGCTCACAGTCGTGCCAAGGGAAATCTATCAATATAGTCTCACTACCTCTTAAAATACACAATGCTTGTGGCAATAAAGGATGGCTCTTACAGAAAGCACGTGTGTTACAATTTTAATAGTGCACGTAAGCTGAACAATACCAAAAGTTAATTCAGGGGTTGTGGACCACAGAGCAGAAATGCTGTCACACAGAGTGGATTTGCAGCTGCTTGAAAAAAACTACAGATGTCTCAGGAAAACAGATAACACAGTTTTAACAGAAGGCTGACACTGCCAAATAGTGCTTTGTCTGCGTTGCCTAATGGGAGGGGAGCTGACTAATGTGGGTTCTAAGAAGTGAACAAGGAAAATGTGAACATTTGCTGATTGCCTGCCATGGTCCCCTTACATCAAAATGGTTAAAGTTCATTGGTCTTTTTGTGAATGAAAATTATAATGGTTATAACATCCACAAAATGCACGTGCATCTGTCCACAGACCATCCAAGCCACTGCTGTTAAAACCCAAGTGAATGTGAAGTAAAATTGCCTTTATAATGTAAATAAAAGCAAAGTTTGTCTTAAGTGGCAACCTCCACTTGGTTTTAATTGATCTTACAATTACTGAGAAGGGTGATTTGATTGCAGAAGGGTTGGTCTGCAAGCCCATGAAATAAGCAGTGCAGATGGCGAATGACTCGGCTTGCTGTTTTCTTCTCTTTTTTAGGCTGCTCACCCTGGGGCCTCTCTTCCCATGGGTGCTGGTGTGATGGGGACCCCAGGCACTCCTTTGTGCCGTGCTGGTCTCTGTGCTCCCTGCCCAGCACCAGCAATATACGCCTTGCTTGGTTATTAATGCATTTGCTGATGCTGTGGTAGAGCAAGGAGCAAGGAGCAAGGTCAGGCTACTGTCCCCACCTCCCTGCTGCCGATGAGGGATCTGAGCTCCCCAGGGGATGGTTTCACCCCCGAGGTGCCTGTCATGCCCCAAATGTGCGTGTAGCAGCAGTCCCCGTGCCTGCAGCCCCTTTCGGCTCAGCCCCGAGGTGCTGCAGGCACCGCACGTTGCAGGGTTGGAGGATCCCGCCCATACAGTCTGCAAGGCCAGGGAATGCATTTCAAAGATGAATTAGTTAATATGAGCACACACCCCGTACACAGGGAGAGCGGATAATGTATAGCACGAGCAGGAGACACTGTCTTCACCTCCAGCCAGAATTGCCAGCCTTTATTTATGGCCAGTATTATCAGCAATGTCCCGAGATTGTGTGCGAGGCTGTTGCTTGCAAATAGCTTAAATGTTTTTAGATGAAATACAAGATGGATAAAAAGGATCTTTATTCTGTCAGTTTGATGAATAATTACAGTATGGGAGCTACTAAAAAGCTCTGCTTGTAACAGGTTTCACCATCAGAGTTATGGTTGAAAGAGAAATGCTTTATTTTTACTATATTAACTAAAGCTACATTTACAGTCTGAAAATTGACTGGATAGCTCCAGTCCTTCAGATGTGGATTAATACCTGTTTAATTCAAATATATGACGCCAAGTTTGGTGGAGCTGAATGTAACGGTGTTTCTAGCAAGGTGGTCCTCTCTTAAATCCTCAGAGTCCAAACATTTCCCCCACTCTATAGCTTTTACAGCACCTATTTTTTTTGCAATTAATGAAAATATTTGAACTTTCCTCAGTGCGAGGCTTGCTAATTAGAAATCCATGTCAGTGATGAAGCTGTTACGCATTTAAAAAGGTTCATTTAGGGGGATTTTTTAGTCTTGTGCCTACATTTTTATGCACCTAGAGTTTATCTGTGTGATTGAACACTGCCGTAGCAATGGGTGGGAAAACGTGCAGCCTCCTCATTTGCATGCTCAGGTATCTGGGTTGCAAATGTAGCCTCAGAATCAGCGTGTTTGCCCACAGCTCAGCTCTGTAAACAAGGGCTCAGCGCTTGTTGACATACAGGGAATGGGCAAAAAGCCTTCCACCCTTCCCTGTGAGGAATCCTTCAATGCAGGAGCACATACTGAGAACGAAAAGCTCCAAACCCAGGTTTCGGTAATGGCTCAGGGTGCAAAGTCTGCTGTTATCAGACTGGAAGGAAGGTGGGTGAAATAACCCAAAGTAGCCAAAGCCTCCAGCAGGAGGTGAGTGGAATGTGCCTGACACCAGGGAAACACCAAAATACTTCGTTAAGTGCCTCCTCGCCTTTTGAGGAACATTTAGTTTGGAGCTGAGCCCAGAAAATGCATCTGCCCCTGCAATTTACACCTCATTGGTTAAGGCTAAAGAGGGAGGAAATCAAGATGATTAATTAAGGAAAAGTAAATTAGTCTCACATTGTATGTAGCAACTGTTGGTGATTTTCCTTATTAGAGAGAACCTGTTTGTGAGCTGGCTTATTAGCCCTTTGTTTCTGCAGTGAGGGTGTGTGAGCGTCAGCCCCTAACAAGCTGTGGGCAGGAGCTATGGGGAGTGGGGCACGATTTGGTTGGGGAAAGAAACTCACACCACATCCCCAAAGTGCTCCCTCACCATGGCTGCCTTTCTCTCCTTCCATGAGGTTTTGTTCTCCCTTTGTTGTCTGCCAAGGATGATGATAATATTGCTATTTTTGATGCATGTGATTAAAAAGAGAAGTCAATAGCTTCTGAGAACAGATTAAGCTCTCCTGAAAGTCTGCTTATCTGCCTAAAACCAAAATAAACAACAACAAGAAGAAGAATAGTGTTTTGTTTTTATTCTTGTGATATAAATGTTCCAAGCGTGGTTCTTTCCTGATGCCGGTGTAAATCAGGAGCAATTTAAGGAAAGTCTGGCCCTCTTCTGGGAGTTACAGGGAATGAAGTTTTTATCCTGGACTGTTTGATGGGAGGCCAGCTGGGCACCAGGACAGGTCAATGAAGACCCCAGCAGAGGAAGGGGCAGGAAGCCAAAGGGGTGGCTCTTCCACTGGAGGCTCAAGGAGGAGCTGGAAAACCATTTTCTCCTGGCCCTGTGCAGGTGAGAACACACTGAGGAGCGGGGGGCTTCCCCCCAGCCCTGCCTAATGCCAGCCAGGGGCTGTGCGGTGCTGAGAGAGCATGAATGTGACAGGCAAAACGGAGAGCTTGCAGGTGGAGGGAAAGCTGTGCTGAAAGCTGTGCAAGAACAGCCCCATTCCTTCATTACACGTAGCATCTGCAGAATAACATTCCCGTTGAGTGGGAAATGACAGGTTTGGCTGTTTTTTAATGCTAGCGCTGCAATTTCCCTGCTCTACTTTCTCCCAGCAGCAACGGGAAGCCTCCTCTCCTGCCCGTGAGGTCTGCTGCCCTGGGGGCTGCCTGCAGCAGAAGAGCTGCCGAGCCCCCGCCTGGCTCCTCGCTGCTCCCCAGCTGCCTGCATGTCCCTGGCTCCCCTCTGGTCCCTGCCCTCCCCGAGCCCCTTCCCCAGCTCCTGGGACCCCGGGCACAGAGCTCTGCTGGCCCTGGTGGGGAAGGGAGGCAAGCCTTGGAGATGTGGGCTACACCAAGGAGCCCTCCCAAGAAAGCAACCACTTGCGTGCCACCAGGTCGTAAGGACCATGGGGCACCTGTAGCACACGTCAGGTGCTGTTACCAAGTGCTGAGGCACATCCCAAGGGTCCTGCATGCTGTCCTGTGCAGCTTCCCTCCTGAGCAGGGGGCTGTGCAACCCCTGCCTTTGGGTTCTCGGTGCCTGACCACCCCAATGTGCCCGGCTTTATAGGTGAAAGAAGCATTGTTCCTCGAGAAAGGACCCAGCCTTCCACTTCTTCCTGTATTTCTGTAATGTGGTTTGATTCATTTCACTCCGTTCACAGAAATGGATGGCTGTCCTCTGCTCCTCATTACAGAGAGAGCTTTTTTGAAAACGCAGGCTCTTCTTTCTGGCACAGCAGAGGTTTAGGTTCATTTCAATTCATCATAATTAGAAAAAAATGATGAAGATTAAAAGACACATGACCATCTCCTTTGGACTTTGCTCTGTCCTCAGCAGCAGAAGCGTCTCTGCTGGCTCCAGTGGTAGAGAGAGAAAATCCTCTGAGATAATGAGACTGGCAGCTTATATGTAAATACCGCGACTTTCGCTTGGAGTGGAGAGCACCTAATGAAAGCATCGCCCGTTTTCATTGCCTGGGAATCAAATAGCCAGCGGTGTGCGAGATGTCCTTCTGGGTGCCTTCCAAGGTCACCCCCAGTGAGCAGAGGAAGCGGATGATGCCGATAGCTGGCCTGAGAGGAGGAGGACGAACAAACTTCGAGCTGAACAAAGGCAGTGGGGGGGGAGAAGCATTTTTCACAAGTATTGCCTGCGTCCAGGAGCCACGTAGAATCGCTCCAGATATTGAAACAATAATTTGCTGGCTTTTTCTCTTTGGTGAGCTCCACACAAACCCGCTTATTTCCTGGCAGGTAGACATTTATTTATGTGCTTTTCAACAAAATCTTCTTCTAAATCTTTGTGAGAGGGTAATGGCTTTGCACTGCCACAAGTGACAGCTCGTTGAGTTGCTTTTTGCATATGAAGAGTTTTGCTTTTACAGGTCGTGTCTGGACCCTGCCTGTAACAGCACATCCTGGAGGAGGATTTGGTCTTGCAGAAGTCCCTTCTGGGACCACTCTAAGACTACAACTGGTCTGAATACCCAGGCTGGAGGGCTGTGGGAAGGAGAAAGGTGGGGAAAAGCTCAGGCTGGTTCACTTCATCAGGTGCCGTCTTCTTGTTCAAAAAGCAGCCAAAGGAGCTGTGAAAACCTGGTTTTACCCACTGCTGAGCCTTTCTGGGGCTGGTTTGCTATTCCTTTATTAGTCGTTGAGTGGGAAGGAGAGAGAGTTCATTTCATCATCCCCTTGATGTTTCTTTGGGCAGGACAAGGGGCACCAGCAGCCACCTGAGCTGTGCAAATGGTCACGGCTGGGATGGGACCCTTGGAGCCCTGCTGGGATCTGCAGGGGTTTTTCCCATCCTGGAGCACAGCACCTCTCTGGCAGACTGGGCTTTGCAAAATTAGTTTTGTTCTAGCAAGACCGAAACTTGCTAAAAGTCAGTCAATTAAGATAATAGGAAGCGCATCCTCACCCTAGGAAAAGAGTAGGTAAATGAGCAGCACAGAGAAGTGCAGTATTTTCCTCTGCAAAACCACAGGTACTTAGATTAAATGGATCAATAAGCCATCTGTATCACAGTAAGAACGGTCATAAATTACTCAAAAATTCAGTTTTTGAGCAAGTCTTTGGGCATATGGGCACAGACAGAGCCGCTAAGCGCTGCTGCTGGGAGCCGTCCTTGCGTGCGGCTGGCTGAATGGTTCCTTCTGCTGTCACGGGAGAGTGAGGGATGGGGCGGCAGGATGGGCGGCAGTGATGAAGAATTAAGGTAACACTGGATAAATGGAGTAACGAGTTTAATTTGGGTGCTGTGCAGCATAGTTAAAATCCAAGCAGTGGTTTCGTTTCTGAGCCTGAGCGAACCCCACAGCACGAGACGCATTAAACACCATCGTGGGAGAAAAAAACAGATCTTCAGACCTCCCAGCTAACCATTGCTGGCACAGCCATGGGGAATGTGGGCAGGGGAACCCTGCTCGCCCTGTGCCATGGCTCACGGCACTCACTGCCAGCTCGTGGGGCAGCTTGGCCAGGTGCCTGCCTGGCTATCCGGGCTATAAAAGTGAGCTAATGATAATTTAAAGGCCTTAACTTGGCCCTTTGTGCCGCTGCCAGCTCTGGTGGTTTTATAGCTACTTGCTGACAGCTAAAAGTGATTTTTTTTTTTCCCTTTTTGCTGTGTTACCCGCGCTGGGGAGACGGAGTGAATGAGTGCGGAGAGGAAACACGATGCTACACAAAATGGTGTTGAAAGCACAAAGTGGAAACAGATTTTTTCTCTCTCCTCAGCTCTCCAGTCCTTGTCATGATAAGGAGAGCTGGTGTTTGCAGCCCAGATGCACTTGTTCAGGTGTGTGCCATCGGTGGGAAGCAGGGACAGATCCACAAATTGCCCCTTGCAGGCTGTACCATGGGCAGAGGGAGAGCAGCAGAGCCGCCGGGGAGCAGCTCACACCAAAACTCACACTTGTGCTGCCCCGTAGGAACACGGGGCAGGTCCTGGTACTGATGCTGCGGGGAGAAGAGGCTGGATGGGTCCCGGTGCTGGGGAGGTGACCGGGTCCCTTCCCTCCCTCCCGTTGCTGCTGGGCTGAGCGCTGCGGTGAGCCTCCTGCGCTCCACAAGCAGCCGGCTCTGCTGGCCCCAGCTCCTGACAGTGACCATTCATCCCCTCTAAAGACCGGCACGCTTTAAGGGATACAGATTTCTTTTTTCCTCTGACTTCTGCTGAATTAAATTTTATGACAATGCGGCGTCAATAGGCTTGCAAGGTTTCCGCTGAAGAGACTCTGCGGGTCTGAATGATTCCTGTGGGGGATTGCTCTGCAGTTCGCAGCCTTGTGCACAAATCCTTCCTGTGACTTCAGCGGGAGAAGCAGCAGAGGGGAGGGCAGGATTCACCCATCGGTGACTTTATCTCCTGCTTCCAAAGGTCATATCAAGAAAATATTTTAGTCGGCTGTGTTATCTGCTACTCCATCTTCATATTGCGTAGCGTTTCTCAGGAGGATATTTTAATGCCATTTTTTCTTTGCTTACCAGAAACTCTTATATTGGACAAACAAGATGCATGGCTCATAGCTGCCTGCCGGAGTTTATCCGTAGCTCAGAAATAAAGTATAAAAACATATCTTTAATAATGCAGGGTAGGGCTGTTCCTTAAGTGATTTATAAACTTCATAGATATAGCGAGTCACTGCTAAAGTAGATTTACGGCTATCTCTACACGAACATCATAGAAATAATAAGGCGAGCAGATGCAAAGTTAAAAGAGAGCCCCCGTTTGTTTCAGCATGGCTAGGAGGTAAATCTGTCTTCCCATGTCACGGATTTGAGTTTTGCTTGTGGGCCAAGCAGAACTTCTAGGCAGAAAATAGAAACAAGTGCTGGGAGGAAGAAAATCATTAAGAGACAAGGAGGGGGCAGGAAAGTGTATGCAAAGCAGCCCTGGATCCACCGCGCATCTGTTCTCCAGAGAGCTGCAGCACCAAAAGCTCTTGTCCGTCCTCCCCAGCACAGCCCACCTTCGCCTGGACACTGCAGACTTGGTGCAGACAGCTGGGGACGGATGTCAGTTTGCCTGGCAGAGACTGGAAAAAGTCTTCTGTGCCTCGTTGTCCTGCCCACAGCCGGTCACTGCAGCGTTTTCATGGTCTGACCCCACCCCGAAGTCCTGTCTGTGGCTTCTGCCCTGAAAATCACTCCTCCCCGACCACAGGTGGTGTAAAGGAACAACAGGGTTTGCTGACCGATGTCAGCTCCTGACCATGAAGTAGTAGTCTTGGAAAATCTGAAATGTTATCTTTTAATATGCCACATTTATTCTCTTTCAAAAGGAACAGGCCTCAGTGGTGAATGGACTGAATGCGATGCAAAGCTTGAAGATCTCCTGGTGCTGGGCTTTGGTGTGTTCCTTCTGGAAGGAAACCACAGGTTGAGATTGATGCCCACACAATGCCTTCCTCGGGATTTTCCTCTCAGGAGATACCCGAACGCCTCGTGGTGTGCTGTACCGAGTGAGGAAGGAGGAGGTTTATCAGTGTCTTCAGTCCTCCGCTGCCGTCAATATGGAAACCCAAATGTTATCAGCCAACAAAAGCACAGCAGGAGTGGGCTGAAAACTTTGAACTCTTCAGGGAAAAAAAAAAATGTCATTTTATACAAATTCCATTAAAATACAGGTTCTTTGTGTTCCCGGGGCTGTAAGGGAGGAGCCTCTTTCCCTTCGCGGAATGGAAGAAAACATTGCTGATAGCTGCGTGAACTGATGAAAGGGTGGGCAGGGCTTTTAAACAGACTGGGAAAAGGACTCCTCATCCATCTATTTTCTGCCTTCAAATGAACAAACGGGAAAAATAAACACGTATGGTGTCTCGGTCCATTATTCTCCCTTCATTGTCAAAGCAGATGCTTGCTCAGTTAAAAAAAGACGGAAAGGTCTGTGGTTCCTGCAAAGGGCATGTTTTCATTTCAGCTGACACTTTCTGAAGCGATAAGGAAAATGATGTGCTATTTTTTCTTGCCAGATATCTGTTTATCCTTGTTGCTGTGTCTCAGCCCCAGACCACTGTAACACGGAGGACTTTTCCTCCCGTTGCTGGGTCGCTGCACAGCTAAACCTGGTGAGGACGGAGCTCTGTGGCGTGCCCTTTCCTCTGCCCAGGCCATTGCTGGGGTTATGCTGGTGCCCCACACAAGGTTGTGGCCGAGCATCCTGCACCCACAGCCTCAGCTGCCTCTGCTCCTGGTCCCGGCCTCAGCCCCTCAGCCTCCTGCAGGGCTTGGTCACTGTGCTGCAAACCCATGGCTGAGAGTTTCGGTCTGTGGCATGCAGGTGCTGCCGCAGGTGAGCGCTGTTAAAAGCATATGTTTACTTATGCTGCTGAGATCTGGAAAAGCTGTTATTTAAAGAGAAATCCTTCAACAGTCTGTGCAAGCATTGGCAGCCCTATCTTCTCAGCTGCAGACGTAGTCAAATTGTATTTGAAAAACAATTTCAGGCGTGCAAAGAGATTCACTTAGAGCAGTTTAGGTACAAAGTCAACACTACAGACGTGTAGGGAGCTGGTGTCAGGTTCTGGGTGTATGTTTAAGATCTGAAAATGTTAAAAAATAGGTTTGTAGCTTTTATACTTACATAGTACTTACAGCAAAGGTGGCAAGGCCAGAGAAATGTGTTTTCTGGGAGCTGAGGTGCTGGGGTCAGTGGCAGTGCTGGGTTTTCTGGGATGTCTCCACAGCAGCCGGAGGCGTGCTGCTCCTGCCCCACAGGAGCACGGATTGAGGTTGCTCTGGGGGCAGGAGGAGGAGAAGGGTGCACGTGTGCAGGATGCCGGGGCAATCAGTGCTGCTGGGCTCCAGCAGGAACATTGGGTCCAGCTCTCCTTGGGGTTAGTAGCAGGATGCAGAGGACACCCTCCCAGAATAAAAGTTTCCACCTATGTTTCCTCTGAAATAACTAGTCACAACTAATTCTGCAGTCCTTCCAGTGAAATATCTCCAGTAACTTCCCGGGGAGCGTTTGGTAGGAGCAGGCAGCCACCCCGCCGTGGGAGTGCTTCTGCAGAAAGCCATTGCAGCTGCAGGGGCAGCAGTAACGTGCAGCCCTTGTAGACTCAATGACTACAGTATAATTTTATTTATGGGTAAATAATACTTAGCGCTGAGCTCACAAACATTAATCTTAAAGCAAGGGTTTTACTTCTAACATTTCCTCCTATTGTAAAATTAATAACAGGTAAGACGCACTGGTGAATTTAAAGGGCTGTGGCTGCGCTGTCACGGAGGTGGTGGAAGCACCTCGGTTCGCTTGTTTGCAGACACAGCTGCACCCCCAAACCTCTCCTCATGCAGATTTTCTGAGAGCCTGGGATCACTCTGGGTTCAAGCAATAACAGCCAGGTGCAAAGCCAAGGTGATGTTTCAGTTGCATCCTCTTCCACTGCATTAGAGCACTCTAATGGTATAAAACCAAATCTGTTCTGAAGGCTTCTGTGAGCTGCGTTTCACTGGGAAATCTTCATGTATCACAACAGAAGAGTTGGAACAAAAAAAATGGTTTGCCAACCCAGATTCATAGCTCTAAATATCTGTGATCCTGATGCTACCAGGATATGTGGCTCAAATCGAATACAGCCAGCCTGCCTGCATGTGAATTCCCTTCCTATTCCCTTCCAGTTCTCATTTCTCATGAGAAATTGTCTCTTAAAAAGCTTCTGTATGAGTGAATGCTTCCATCCACCCTGGACTTACTCTTGACTTTATGGCTTCTCCTTGACTCAGGACCCTCCTTTGCTATGCCCTCCTGCAAACGACACACTTTCACTTCAAAATCCTTATTCATAAATGTCAACACCTCCAGAGACAGGAAAGTAAATGTGGGCTCTAAATCTTTACTTAAACTCACGACGACATCCTCTGATTTTTAAAGTGCCCGGCGTTAAGCAGTTTCCATTGGATTCTTAGCCTAAATCAGCAGTAATAGGATGTCTCCCAACCTTGTACTACAGCCTCTCACCCTATCAGTCATGAAAAGTTTGCATCTCATACATACTCAGGGTGTGCAGCTCTCAGACTTACCGATCCATATTCTGAGATTTATTGGGCATTAACCTGTCTTTTAACTATAAATTTACTCATTTACGTTTGTGATGCGATGTGTCAAGGTAGTTTCAGCATTTGCATGATCCTGGTAGAATCGTGAAGTGTTTCAAAGATGAATTGAGTGATACCTAAATTATTCATGTGCAGTGTCTGGGAATCTTTACATTGCTTTCCTAAATCAGAAGAACTAGGAAAACTGGAAACCTCAGCTAATACCCCCGTAATAACGTGTCATTCTGAAAGGAATTAGAAATAATGCTGCCACTTTCCAGCACTTTTTGCGAGCACTGCTACATATAAATGCTTTGTGCTTGCTGACGGAAGGCTATGGATGGCACATTTTGACCATCATCACGACCGCAATCTGAGGAATACAGCGGGCGTGCCTCCCCGTGACAGCAATGTGAAGGAATCACTGACACTGCGTCTTCGCTGCTAGCCTGGTGTGAATGCCAGGGGCTCGGGAACAAGGCGTTTTGTGAGGCGAGGGGGGGCTGAGCAGAGCAGAGGGACAGGCAGGGTGCCCTGGCTGCTGGATGTAACACGGCCCCCGGGGAAGCCCCCATAAACACTGGGGGACGGTAGGCACTGTTACATGGACATTAAACTTTGATTTTTGGCTCTGAGACCTCTGACATTGTTTTTTCCTTAAACCTCCCCAGGGACATAAAGGGGTAAGGTCACCCGCTGAAGGCCTTATTGCAGAGCATGGGGACACAACACTTTGCCAGCGATGCCAAATGAGACTTTAATACTCGCTGCCTCTGAGCTTCCTTTTGCTCTGTTTTCCTCCAGGAACAGGATTCAGAATTACTGTATGATTACCAAAAGCACGTTGAACTCGAGGGATTAGAAGTGCAAGACTCCCCCTGGCCAGCCGTACGGCTCAAAGCAGACCCCACTGGGCAGCCCGGGGCTGGGCTGCTAACCGAGGAGCAGGAGGCTCGGGGCTCATCCTGCAGCACGGGCTGGGTGTGAGGATGGCTTTGAGCTGTGCCATGCCATGTAAATGTCACCTGTGCTGCCACACAGACCTCACAGGGATGTCTCACGGGTGTATGTAGGACGTGCATCCTGGGCAGCAGTGTCACACCCCAGCAGTGTCTCTAGCCTGATGCTTCCCCGTGCTGGCAGAGGTCACTCTGAGCAGCCACCAGCTGCCACCGTGAAGGTGTCACCCCAAAAGGCACCGTGGGAGCAGGGACCTCTCCAAGAGGTCTCTGCAAGAGGCTGAGCTCCTCTTCATGCTTCTGCTTCACCGCCAGGATCGTTGCGTCCCTAATAGCTTTTATAGCGGCGATGGCCCAGTAACACCACCTCTGATTTAATCTCGTTCTCTGCTCTGACAGCTAATTCAAAGCCCTGTTAGAAGTCATCAGATACTGAGAGGCAGAGCAGCGGCGTGTCACTGAAATAAGCTGAAAACGGGTTCCTAAAAATGTCACAGCCTGCAATCCACCCTGCAGGCCTCTCCTGTGCATTGCTGCTTCCACGGGGACCTTCTGTCGGTGTCCCTAAACCGGCCCCAACCACCGAGCTTCTAAAGGGCTGAGACATTTCGGTCAGACCATCGGTGTGTGTGCGTGTTATCAGCCATCCCAAAGTTAATAGTCCCCTATTAAAAGCATCTGTGATGCGTAGCTGATCTGGATGACCACCAGAGCTGTTCCTCTCCAACCCAAGTGTTTCCCTGCTTCACGTTCAGGCTGCACCAGCTCACATTGCCCCCTTGCATTTAAATAAGAAAAGCCAATTCCATGATGCTTTAGTTCACTAAAACAGAGAAATAAAACCTGCTATATTTTGCATTTCAAAGTTATCTGACAAATTTTATAAACTTCTGAATTTAAAAAGCGATGATTCAAAGGTCCTTCGCAATACAGTAACTCAGTATAATTTGCTGTTCTGCTTATCATACAAAATTTATCACCGATCCCTTGCAATGTCCCCAAGACAATCCCCACTCAAATTAGTTGTTAAGTAATGTCATCAACTATATTTGGAGCAAAGACAAAGTAAACACAATCCCCAAACTTCTTAGTCGTTGAATAGTCAATGTAAATGATGAAAACGAGTCAGAAATTAAACCACTGTGCTCCAGCAGAAATGTTTTAAGCTTCACTTGACAACTTTGGTTTGCTTTAGACAGGAAAATGTTCCTGGGGAAACGTTTCTCTAGTTAAAGGAGGATTTTAATGCTGCAAAAAACACTGAACTTGTCAGAAACTTTGCAGCTATGCTCTTAGAAAAGAAAGCGTTGACTGTTTTCATGCCGTACTTTTCAGATCAATGTCAGGACGCATTATTTGTGGCGCTGAGCCCGCCGTGCAGCATAGCTCCGCTCCGGTCCCTTCAGGCTTCGGGTCTCCAGCCCTTTGTTTTCGGCATGGGCACATGACAAGCGGCATCCCTACGGTTCAGCTGAATGCTGTCAATAACAGGACCCTTGCTTCAATCTGTCCCTTACTTACAGTAAAGCTTACATCTGCTTTTGTTTCAGTTGTCCATACGAGTCTGGGTAACTGCAACCTTAGCCATAAATCTCCCCTCTGATGTAAAGTCACACTGCTCCTGTTGGTAATCAGAATTTCAAAGGAAAATCTCTCTCATATAGGTTGAAGGGACCTTTACCCTAATGAAGTTATTAAAAATCTACCCACCTCTATCCAATAAAGCCACCTGAGGATGGCAGAGTAGGGGCAGAGCTGCTGGTGCTGCCTCCCCCCGAGGGCCACCTCAGCATCTCTCCGTGCCTGCTGGCAGAGGACGTGTGGGGACTTGCTGCACGGAGCTGATCAGGCTCAGAATAGTCCTTCCATATGTTGTTTCTCCAGGAGCTGGCAAAACTTTGGTTAAGATAAGCTAAGCACACAACAAACAGGGAACGTATGCAAACACGTTTGATTTAGGTGGGAAAATTTTACTCTTCTGTCATTCGACTATGGCACAAGCTCTGCAAATGCTCATCCAAACCTAACGCTCTTTCCTCATCTTTTCCTCAGCCCCCATCCTCAGGGACCAGCAGTGATTTTCTCTGGACAGACTCATTGGACATTTCTCCCATCACTAGCTTCATTTCCCCTTTTTATTACTCAGACTCTGTGCTTGCAAGCGAGGAGTCAAGGGCTATAAAACCAAAGCCAAATAAATGAGATAACCCCCAAGATGCTTTGGCAGACAGCTTCCACCCTCACCCACGGGGGCATTTTCTGGTCAGGGGACATCAGAGGTGGAGGCTGCTGTTACCACCAACTAAAAATCTCCCCTTTCTGGTGGCAGACCCCAAGGAAAGGGCTCTCCCACCTCACCAGAGCTCCCCTGGGTGCTGCTAGGGAAAACGCCACCTGGATTCAGGGTTGGTGTTGGTGTGCTCCGAGGAGCAAAGCCCACGAGCACCCTGCTCTGGGCAGCCAGACACGCTGCCAACACCACCCCACATCAAAGGCAGCTCCCATCTGTCTGCACTGGACGCTCATTTGTCATCACCTAGTGATGTGAGGGGGTTTGTATTAACCTTGCCCAGGGCCACAGGAGCCAGCCAGCTGCTGCAGGGGGCCCAAAATGAGCTGGGGCCTTGGGAGCTGGCAGCAGGGCTCCTCTTCGCTCAAGGGCAGGACCTCACTGGGGTATTTTGTCTTGGGCAGACATGGATACGGCCAGCAAGACGGTTCTGCAGGTCCATCTGCTCCAGCCCACGTGGCAAGGGCGTTGTTAATGCAGAAATTCCTTGTTTTGTTCATCTACTGGTTGTTTATTGTGTTATAACACTGCCTATAGGAGTTTGGGAGGAATATTAGGGAGTTTAGGCACTGCGATGCTTGTGTCACGATCACATAGAAATTTGTTACTACAGTTAACGTTTAAAGTGGGGAATATAAATTAAAGGAACCTATATTCCTGCTTTTCCCACTTAGAAATGTACTATCAGCGTACAAAATGTTGCTGTAACTCCACAGAAAACTAAAAACATGTTAGACCCCAGCTTCTAGCGAGCCAGATTTCTTCTGAGAGATTTCAGCAGGCAGGCTGCCAAGCTGGGAACTGCAGCCACGGAGATATATTTCTTTTTGCTCCGGCTCATTAGCAAGAAGCAGCTGTTAGTTCATTCAGTATTAATGTCAGCCATAATGAAAGACACCCACTTGTAGGAAGAGGTGAATTTGGAGAGAACTATAAAGAAGGACTCCGTGCCAAATTACACGGTATCAGTCAGGGTGGTTGAATTATAACAAGACTCAATTTTTGTGAAACCATAAAGGAATAATGATAAAAGTAGAAAAGATGTGCATAGGCCTGACTCAGCAGACTCTAACCGTAATGCACGCACTTGACTTGAAATTAATGCAACGTATAAAATTAAGAGGAATTTTGCTGGGATGACTTCAAATGTTGAAACCTAAGATATATACATATATATATGTGCGATACTGTTCATGCTTGATGCAACCCGACTCTGAGGCTGCTTAGGAAATTTGCCCTAGGGAATATCTGAAAAAGCCTCCTGAAATGAAACTCACTTCATTTATTTTCCACTTCTGGAAGTATAGGACACGACTTCACAAACATTTAACCATTTTTCTGCCTTTTAAGACCTAAAAAGGAAGCAGTAAATCTGCAGGAAAGATATTCACTGTATAAGGAAGCTAGGAAACATGGAATCAAAGTATTCATTGGAGGAAATGTTTTTTTTATAACTTACTCATTTTTTTCCTTTTTTTTTTTTTTTTTTTTTTTCTTTTTTTCTTTTATTTTCAGACATATATAGGGATGGGGCTACTAAGCAAGGGGAGGATAGGAAAGAAAATAACCCGGAATGAGTAGGCTTTGCTTGCAACCATGGGGAGTGGCTGGACTTGCTCCTTTTATACGAAATCCAGACAGAAGCTCCTGACTTGGCTGTATAAAAGAGGGGAGCAGCAGAACTGCCATCTGCAGCACCAACCTGTGAGCCCACGGCCTGGGGAGACAGGGCAAGGGCTGGGTGCTCACGGAAACTGAGCTGTGTGCTCCAGAAGGCGGCTGGAGCAGGCTGCTGGGGGAGCACGGACAGCCCAAACACCTCCTGTGCCTGGTGCATGGGTAAATAAAATACCTCAGCTGCCAATGCTGCAGATGTGGCACCATCAGAGCGTTCCGCATGCCCTCTAAGAGAAGAGAAAATAGCGCGATTGTGGAATAAATGATGAGTTCATTTCTGTTGCAGAGATGCTGCCTCGTCTCCCGTTGAAGACAGCCTCATCTAGCACCATCCCGGTGTGCATGCAGGCTCCTTGCTCCTAGCAAATCGAGTCAATTCTCTTTCTCCCTGCCTCCCTGTTGGTATTAAAATCCTTTCCAGCAGGACTCCAGCAAGCTGCCAGAGGAGAAGGCAACTGCGTGCCGAGCACTGCCGGGAGTAAACTGAGTGTATGCACACCTTTGCCAGCCTGCTTCACTCATACCCATTTGGGATCCAAAAACCAGTACATATGCTCAGGGCCCCAGAGCCACCACAGCCACCGCTGCTGTAAGCCAGCCCCATGCCTGGCAGGGGGACACGATGTGTGTGCCACCAGTCCGGGTGACTGACCCGGAGCAGAAAGCATTTGGGCTTGAGACGTGTCTATTAAAGCTAGTAATGTGGGCAGAGCCAGGCTTGCTGTGCTTCTGCAGAAATGTGAGACAATTCTTGTGTATGGTAACTTCAGGGAGTTTTATAGATTTAAAGCCGGCGTGGATGCGAGGGGTGGAAAGAAAGAAAATGCGAGATGGGAGATAAGAGATGGGAAAGCAAACAGCGAGAGCTGATTGGGGCTAAGCAGAGAGAAATCAAATTCTCATTGCAGCTTCTCAACAGATAAAATCCAAATCAAAGCAAATGTGATGAAATGGCAGTGTTAGAAATGTATTGTAACGGGAAGGATCGTGTGCTGCTAACTGTGCTTCCAAGTGTGCACGAGCCAAATGCCTGTGACATGTGTGAGGCCAGGCGGGCCTGCACCCAAAGGAGCCCGGCTGCCCCCAAAGGAGCCCATCTGGCCCTAAAGCAGCCTGGCTGCCCCATGTGGAAGCTCAGGGGCAGTCAGGAGGGTCATTGCCATCACTGCCTTCACTGCCCACACCTGGGGGAATCCCACCCCCTCCAAGCAGGGAGCAAGAAAGGGATAAAAAGGGTGGGAAGGGCAGGCTCCTGCTTCTTGAGGGGTGGTCAGCAGGGGGGACTGCTCTGGTGGGTGCCCGGATTATTTGCCCTGGGGTTTGGTTTGTGCCTTTTTGTCATCCTCCTGCAGCCAGCAGGGCCCTTGCTGCTGCCTTGTGTGTGCAGGCCGGGCCAGTGCTGTGACTGAACGTAACCTGCTGCAGGTGTGGTGTCCTTGTACCCTCCTGGCAACTGGCAAGCAGAAGGCTTTTTTACAGGAGTGTGTGTCTGGCATTCCTCTGAAAAGCTCTCGCACAACTTATGGGTGAGTAGTGCCTGAAATTTCCATTATTTAATGGGAGGTAGGCAGCTGGACTCTGAGCTAGGCCAAGCATTGCTTTGTGGCAGCAGAATGGCCTTGGCTTTTGCATGTGCAGTAACACTTGTGTGTCTTAATGCTAAACTTGTGATGGTGAGAGGGGAAACCCAGCAGGGGCTGGCAGAGGGCTGGGTGGTAAAATCAGGGGGCTGCCCTCCTCTTCCTCCTCCTCACCTCATGCCTCTGGTTGTGCTCACGGGCTGCTCACTTGTAGTGCTTTGCAGCTCTCTGTCCCAGCACGGTGCTGGGGAGAAATGTTCCTGTCCTTAACCTGAGTGCAGCACTGAGTTACCTCCTGAGAGCTTTGTGTTTTGCTGGCTGTTGTTCCCAGGCCCTAGCTGCAGTGTCTCCTAACACTGCTTTAGCATCTTTGCTGTGTGGGAAGGCGAAGCGTGGGCACGCAGCTGCTTCTGCGACAATAGGGGTGTCAGTGTGCGGGCTTTTAGGTGAAAGTGATGGAAATAACCACTTCTGGAGCTTGGCTTTGCTCCCTGAGATTGCACCGCCTTTAAAATCCTCAAACTTTTTCCACCAAGGGGACAATGCACAGAGGGATTTTAGGTAAGGAAAAACAAGCGGCAGCTAAGGACGCAGGTTTTTAGTGGCAATCTGTTATGAGCTCCCTGGCTTTAGCCACATATTTTATGCAGACACTGGATGAATATATAAACTGTAGCATCTCTTCAGTTTGGTATGGGGTAGTTATAAATGCCTAGACCAAAAATAGGCTTATCAGGAAAGCTCTGTTCTCATTAGGAAATTCAAATGCGCAATGATTTTGCATGTGCATATATTAAGTAATCTGGTTTCAAGGATTCCCCTGGAACAACGTGGTGTGGTTAGACTATGGGCCAAAAGTGGTGGTGAGCAGGGAACAAGCCTGGAGCTGGTGTGTATGCTTCTATGTGGGTAGTATTTTAAGAAATTGTGTACTACTGTGAGCAGTATTTATGCTAATCTGAAGTCTGTTTTGGCCCTGTTGTGAGGCCTCTGAGCAGAGGACTGGGAGGAGAGGAGTAAGGCCTTCTGGCTGTCCTGGTATTTAGGAATAATATGTTCTGGCTTCCATGGTATTTCTCTGACAAATCCTTTGCAATGGGGCTGTGGTCCTCTCTCTGTCACCAGGGCAGGGTTTCTCTGGTCCCTGCTTGAGCCTGGATGGGAGGAGGCAGGAGCAGATCAGAGGCTGGGTTAGACGCTTGCTTAGCATGTAGAAATTCTGCAAGCGGACCAAAATGCATTATTTTAAGTACATCACGTGAGATACTTCAGCTTCACACTGAGCAGAGCCCCTCGTGTTGCTGGGGATGTGCTGCTGGCTGAAGTGCAGCTGTGACTGGTGCATTAAAAACATTTTCAAATGAAGCCACAATTAAACTCATTTTTTCCCTGAGTGAAGCAGTGTATGAGGTAAGAGGCATCTGTTTGCAGCTGTCACCATCAGCCATGTCAGCAGGTCACTTTACCTGGTGGCTCACACAGCCAGCTGTGAAACCCTGCATTAAATGCATTGCAGAGAGGGAACCTCCAGGTGAGCTTGACCGAGAATCACAGCCAGAGGAGCAGTGGGTTTGAAGGGAAAATCCCCCTTTGCAGGTTGCAATGAAGGTGTACAAGCTGTGTGCTTGCTTTATTTGCTAGGTAATATTCTCTGCCTTCATCACAGGGCAAAAACAAGTGGGAGAAAATCCTCATTTAAGAGCATCATTGTGCTCTCAAGTTGAGGAAGAAAGTGCATGAATAAGTGGAAGACTTGAGGAAAATAACCATTTATAATAGCAGAGTGCAGTAATTACGGCACAAGGCAACATTTGTAACTTCTGGGATTTGTGGATTAGACAAGTTCTAGAAGCACAAATGTATTTTATTATCCTGAGATGTGTTCTCTTATTCCCTGCCACTTCACAACCAGAGCGTTGCTGGATTTTATTGTTTGACAGCTTAATATCTGCTTTCCCTACAGTGGCAGAGCTGATGGCTAACACAGGTACAGAGGGGGTGTTGCCAATGTTTTATTTCTGAGCCAGGTAAAGGACTGGAGAAGTACCGGCATCTGATGAACTGGATGGCGTGTTGACTACTTTGCTCTGCAGCAGTGATGATTACAGCTGTAACGGGATGCGACCCCTCTCGGTGGGATGGCAGGGGCTATTTCCCTGGCTGTGGCAGGTTCTTGTGCCCCTGTGCTAGCAGATGGGCACCACGAGTGCTGGGATGGTGAGGAGGGGATGTCTGTGCCTTGCAGTGGGCATGGGCTGTGCCACGGGCCTGCCTCCCCTTCCACCTCTCCAGGGGAACCTTGTACTTTCGTTCCCTGGCTAGTAAATACATAGTCTGGGTATCCCTGAGGGAAGGTTGGGAGAGGTGTTGGAGAGCCTGGCAGATCATAGATCCAAGCTGTGTTTCTCTACGTTTATTTTTAAAACGCTTTAGGAATGAGCTACTTCAAAGTGTATGTAAACTAAAAATATTACTTCTAATAAGCCATATCTTATTTAGCAGTATGAACACATTTCTAAATCCTCGCTTTCCAGAGAGATGTAATGTGCAATCCAAGACTATAAAATGTTGAACTCAGCAAGCTGCTCCCTGCCTGACAGCCAGGTAGTGATTAACTTAAATGATGCCTTTCTACACGGGGTGTTTCGATGTCTAATGAACTTCTGGATAATGCTGATTGCAATCAGTTCTCTGTCCAAAATTCACAGAATGATGGCTTTTCTCTTTTGCAAATAATTCAGAGACTTTAAGCGTGCATCTTCTGCCAACTGTCCAATGAATATTAATCTATTTGCAATAAACTGCCTTATGAATAATTCGCTTCACAAATGAGTGAGTTTAAGATATTGCAGAGTTAAATGAACCATTAGCGAAGTATGTCTTGTAAATATTGCCTGTTATTGGGTCTTGTTTGAGTTTTGTTGCATACTTTTATTCCTTCATCTATGAACACATTGCAAAGAGGGGCTTAACTTTTCCTTATCGCCCTTTTTATTGTCCCTATTGAAATGTTGGATGGATTTGTTAGATTACAACAGTAATGGCCCATCACTAAGCGGAAAAGACTGAATGGCTCCTGGCCAGTGAGGAACAGAAGGCAGAGGACGAGAGTACCTTGATTAAAATAAGGGCTGAGGGCGCCTGAGTTCAGATTTTGGGTTGATCTTAAATTACCTCTATTAACCAGGGCAGGACTTTCAGCCTGCCTCTGTTCCCAATGTTATAAAGTAAGGATATTCTTTTTGCTTAAGTTTTTTGATGAGAATGCTTGGGCACCTTATTAAGCCAGCGTCCTGCTTAGCACAAAAGGAGGCTGACCTTTGCTCAGGGTATTAAATTCTGTTAATATATTAAAGTTTGCAAAGCTTAACCATAATGCAGCTTAGATGAGTATAAAATGAGTAAATGTCTTAGGCCCGTGTTAGGGCTGCCAGGGGGCTGGGGGGGGCTGAGAAGAGGACGAACTGCTCCTGTTTGCAGAACAATTGCCTAAATCTCAACAGATCAGTGTTGGCTTAGTGTGCTGTTTTCCTGTTGTGCTCTTAGTTTGAAGTGTTACTCATTTCTGTAGGTGAGCATCAAACGGGCGGTATTAAGATTGGCCTTTAAAAAACACAAAAATAATCAAACCCCATGAGCTTAGTTATTAATCACTTAAACTGCAGTGAAAAACTCTGTAAACTGCTTCCCTCGAAATAAAAGATCCAGTACACTGGAGAAAGCCATTTTAAAGAAAATGGTTAGGGCAGGTAGATAAGTTACTCCCTTGAAACAATTCTCACCTTGACTTTTTGGGAACTCTTGCTTTAAAAAAGAATTAAACTAGAAATTAGCATAATGACAGTGGCAGACTTTAATCTGCAATTTAAAGCATATTAAAAAAAATATCAGACTTTATTTGTATTTAAAGCTTTTAAAGCTGTTGCTATGCCTTATAGGAATATCTTCATAATTGCTCAAAATTCACTTTCGTGTTGTTGAAGAATGTCATTTGCATGTGGAGGAGCAAATGGGGAGGAAAATATGCCACTTTGTTTGCATTGTCTAATCCAGGAATGGAAGAATTTTTGAGTGAACGTAGGTGCTTTGTCAGCAAGTTACCCTTTTCTTTTCCTTTTTAAAATGCTACCTGTGACTTCTGCCGAGAGTGCCGGTGGCTGGACTCTATTTTAATTCACACAATTAGCGTTTCAATATTGTGACAGGTTCATCAAAATCACCAAGCTGCAAACTTCTGACTAATTAGAAGTTGGCTGTACAGGGGATGTGAATCCATTTCCTCTGAGAAATGAGGTGAGACACGAATCTCTCTGCTTCCAAACCCAGAATGGTTAAAGAATTTAGCAATTTGTAAAAATATGCAAGCTGTACAGACAGATAAGGCTTGCTTATGAATAACATTACCCTATAACTCTCATCTGACGCTCTTATCCTTTTTATGCCATTGCTACGAAGATTGCAAAGTAGATAATAGAGCCATTTGTAAATTAAACAAAATGGTTTTTATAAGTTGTTATTCTAACATTTCAATTTGTTTTTCTCTTTCTGCTTTGGGCATCTCGGAGACGACCTATTTCCTGGGCTCTCGTTAGCCTGTCTCAGTGCTGGCTGCGGGGCTGTCACAGGCTCTGGGGGCACAGCACGCCCTGCCCAAGGACCTGTGTCCATCCTGCTGCTGGTGGCAGTGCCTCTCCTGGCCAAATCCCCATGCAAACAGGCGGTTTGTGCAGTTCCAAGCCAGAAGGCACTGCCTTCCCTGGGCTGGCTTTGGTAATGAACCCGTCTGTCCTTGGTGAGCTGGTGGCTCCTTGTCTCGTGCTGCCCCCCGGGCACACCATGGAGCCGTGAAGGGAAGAGCTGCCACAGCCCAACCAGCCATGGGACCTCTCCCTGGAGAAGTCCTGTGCTTAACAAGAGGCTGTGACCCCAATAAAATCTATGCAGAG